TACAAGTATTTAATTTTTTCAGTTTATTTATTTTTTAATTTTTTCTAATTTTTTTTTTAAATTTTATTTTTGGGAGAGAGAGAGAGAGGCAAAGAGAGAGGGAGACACAAAATCCAAAGCAGGCTTCAGGCTCCGAGTCTCAACAGAGCATGACTTGTGGCTCGAATCCATAAACCACGAGATCATGACCTGAGCTGAAGTCAGAAACTTAACCAACTGAGCCACCCAGATGCGCCTAGTTTAAGTAATCTCTATACCCAATGTGGGGCTTGAACTCAGGACCCCAAGATCAAGAGTGACACCCTCCGCCAATTGAGCCAGCTAGGTGCCCCTTAAATTTGTTTTTTATGGCTGTTTCTATTTTCTCTTTACCAGCTGTTTTTGCTGTTCCTCCCCATTTTTTGATAAAAATTTCTAGTATGATTTTATATTTTATTTTAAAAACGTGGCTTTTCAAGTTTTTGCTGTTTTAATTCATTAACTTGTTTCAAAAAAATTTTTTTAATGTTTATTTATTTTTGAGAGAGATAGAGACCGAGTGCAAGTGAGGGAGGGGCAGGGAGAGAGGGAGGGAGACACAGAATCCAAAGCAGCTCCAGGCTCCGAGGTGTCAGCACAGAGCCCGCCACCGGGCTCGAACTCACGAACCGTGAGATGATGACCTGAGCCGAAGTCGGACGCTCAACCGACTAAGCCCCTAACTTCTGCTTTTATATTCGTTAATTTCTTCCTCTTTCCACAGTTAAAGTTTCTTTCTCCCTAAAGCCCTCATTTCATTTATTTTCATTACTTTGGTCAGTGCTGAGTTGGATGCACTAGAATTTACCTGCTTCACTTACTTTGACTTTGTAAATGACTTCGCTTTAGCATCAGAAATGTAAAGGATACAGAAGTTTCCTCCTGGTGACACATTTATGTTCACCCACAGGCCTATTTTGAGGAGAGCGGCTCCGCCTGACATTTCTGACCCAGAAACCCTCAGGCAGCGCGGGAGAGGAGGTCCATCGGAAACCTCCGACCTGCCAATCCGGGGAGGTGCGCCGCAGAGCCGTCTGGGAGATGTAGTTCTAGGGAGGGCGGCACTCTGGGAAATGTAGTTCTGCGCGCACACTTCCGAGGTGGGCCGCGTGAGTCCCGGCGCAGCGGCCCGAAGCCTCAGGTGGGGGGTAGGGGCGACGCGGCGAGGCTGCGGGGGCCGGGGCGGCCTTGATGTCCGCGGGGGCCCCGCGGTGAACCCTGACGCGCGCACGAACTGGCTCCGGAGCCGGGTGCGACGAGGACCCGGGGCGGGGGCGGGGGGGGGGGGGGGGGGGGGGGCCGGCCACGCAGCGCAGGCGCCGGTTCCGGTCCGGGTGGGGCGTGGCGTGGGGGCGGTGCGGTGCGGTTCTGGGGCAGCTTTAGGGGCCTGGGGGCGCGTAGGGATGGGACGGGTGTGGCGGGCGGCGACTGTGGGTGTCAGGAGGGAGATTTGGGGGTCTGGCGGAGCCGCCTGTGGTGGTGGGTGACGAGGAGGCTGTGAGGGAGATGGTGGAGCCGGCCAAATCGTGGGGCGCTCGCGGGTCAAGGGATTGGAGTGTCTGTGATAAATCAGCGAGCCGGGGTTCGCGGCGGACGAGTGGTTGTGGAGCCGGCGGAGGGAATTAAGTGGGTGATGGGGTCCTTTGGCGCGAGTCGTAGTGGGAGCGGCTCTGGGCGGAGGCCGAGACGCGTGGGCTTGGCAGTTCTGGGCCTGAGGGGCAGGGATCGGGAGAGAGGAAGTCCCTGAAGCTGCGCCAGTGTGGAGACGCTGGACGGCGAGTGTGTGCCGTCGGGGATGCGGCCGAAGGGTGGTTTTCCGGAGTAATTAGGACTCTGCTCGCTCGTCAGTGATTCAGATGCCTCCGGCTCGGCAAGTGGGCCCAGTGTGGATGAACCATAAGATCTTCGTGGAGGTCTGTTTGGGGGAGCTCAGAATTGGCGGCCCGAGGATTTCTTCGACTGGAAGGCCTGTTGGTTTGTGACAGTGCTGGATTGTACTGAGCGCTGGGCTCCCGGGAAGCAGGAAGGTTAAGACGTGTGGGGGGCGGGCGCGCGCGCGCCGCGGCAAGGAAGCATGTGTTCTGCGTAACACGTGCCCCTTGTTGGCCGATGACGCGGCCGGAGAGCGACCTTGTATCTCCCTTTCCGTGGAAGGAACCACGTAGGTCTTTGCCCTGCGTACATGCTGGCAACTCTTCCGGCCACAGCGTTCTCCCTATTGTAGTATGCCCCCGCCTCCTGCGGTAACTGTGGGATAAGATATTTCTTTACATTCTATTTGGCAGTTCAGCGGTAGCTGTTTCGATGGAGGGGGAGGACCGGGGTGGCCTGTGCTGCTGAGTGGTCTGTGCCTGTGTTTGGGAGGTTTTGTGGTTGGGGCGTCAGGGACTGGGGCACTGCGTGTCAGTGACAAGGTCTGGATACGAGTTGGTGGGTGGCCTGTGGGGGTTGTGAGCGAGCAGACGGTGCGGGTAGTAACTAGAGTCATTGGAGGTAGCGTGTTAGGGCAGGGCGGAGCTGGCGGCCCGTTCAGGTGACGATGGTGAGGACCTGTAGGGGCGCTAGTGAATGGTGGGTGAGCGTGGGGTAGATTAGAAAGTGGGGTGTCATGGAAGTGAGTGGTTGGGGTCCCCGTATGATTACGGATTGGGCATCCCCTGGGTTCAGTTCTGTGAGAACCCGTGATTGGGGCACTGTTAAGGTGAGTGGATGGGCAACTGAAGGAGGGAGGGCTTGGAATTCTGTAGGGGTCCTTTGGGACTCAGTGTTGAGGATTGCACTGACTCCATTCCTAGTCAATGAATAGACTCTGCTGAGATTACTGGATGGGCGTGTAGGGGAGCCAGTGACGGGTTTCTCGGCGTTAGTGTTTAGAAGCCTGTGGGAATCAGTGATGAGGGGCTGTGCCGTCATAATCAGTCAAGGGACCTATAGGAATGACCATGCGGGGTGCTTGGGGCTGAGCGAGGGGGAGCCTGGAATGATCAGGAATAAAGGGTCCTAAGGGTATCTGATTGGGGGCGGGGCTGTGGAGAGACTTTGGATTCCATTGATTGATGCACTTCTGTGCGTTGGTTTTGTCACTTGGGGGTTGGTGATTGGGGGCTTTGTAGAGCAGTCACTGGAGACCTACCATATGTGTAATTGAAGGTCCTGGAGGGGCGGCCTGTGGAATCAATAATGAGGGTCCTAGTGGGATGATGGGCTAGTGGGATAAGGGGGAGCGGGGCTTATGGGGCTCAGTGGTTGTGCGGTCTGAAATTTGTGAGGTCCCTGTTGTGTTCAGTGAAATGGGGGCTGGAGAACTCTCAGGTGGGTGGGTGGGGAACTGGGAGCCTTGTGAATGCTGAAGGTTGGTCCGTGGGGTGGGGTGGGGTGGCTGGGGGTTCAGTCATGCAAGGTCTGTTGGACCTCGTGTGTGATTGAGGCCATCTTTGGTGATTATTGGCCTGTGTGGTTGTGTTTGTGGGTGTGGGTAGTCTCCATGAGTGCTGACCATGCGTTGGCTCAGGCAAGACTCTCACAGAGTGACTTCTGTTAAATGACCATATTCTCTTTTGTTCTTTGGTCTTTCTCACCCAACACATCACTTTGTTGGTCAGTGACGGCTCCTTTTACTGAAATATTTCCTCACTTAAACGTTCTCAGCTGGTTCAGCCTCATTGCCCTCCTCTATCCCCGAACCGCCTTCAGCTCTCTCTAGCCCCAGCCGTTTGAGTGTGGTGCTCCCTGGGGCCATGCTCTTCCCACAGGCGTCCACAGTGGGTTCCATCCTCTGTTCAGGACTCAGCTAAAAGTCATTTCCAGGATGCCTTTTCTGGCCATGGGAAGGAGCACCTTCCACCCACCCCTTCCTCTGTCACATTTAAAATTTCCTGTGAGCACTCTTTTAGTCTGACGTTACTTTATTTACTTGTTTTCCATCTTAGAATGCATTTCTTAGAGGACAGGGACCCTGTCTGTCTTGGGACCTTAAGTCGTCTCTTCCATGTGTTCAGAACAGGGCCTGGTTGTGAGAGGCATTCGGCAAACTGCTGCTTTCCTGGCCCGTAAACAAGACTGTGCATGTGTGTGTGAGTGTGTGTGTACATGAGAGTGCTGAAGGTACATGTGCGTGTGAGGGCGGGGTGCAGGAGTATGTCGGGATCCTGAAGGAGGAAGCGAGAGTGGCAGTTTGGGATGTTAATATAGTCGGCACATTCCCTTTTCCAGAGGTGAGAGAAGACCCGTGCAGCAACCCCAAAGGGGTCGAAGCTAAACAGAAGCTCCTAGGGCAGGTGGGCCTTTGATCTCAGGGACCCCAGGTTCGGATGGCAACAACTCTCTTCTTTCACTCAGGGCTTCCCAGACTGTTGAGACCCCTAACTGTGTCCAGGAGAGCTCCCCGGGCATCTTGGAAAGAGGCATTTCACCTTTGAATGTTGCTCTCTGCTCTCCTAGAACCTTTTCTCAGAGATTTGCCCTCCAGCCCTACACTCTTCACGCTGGACTAAACAGAGTCCAGTTTCCCTGGGGGGATCTGACTTTTATGTGGATACACCACAAGTGGGCACAATCCCTGTCGTTCTTCTCTCTTCCCACTTTTAGGAATTTTTCCTGCTCTGGATGCCCTTGCTCGGCCCTCTATCACTGTTTTGGGTCAGTATTCAAAATCCAGCCTGTCTTTCGATTCTTTCTTGACTGCCCCACAAGATCCTCCTTATATTGTTCATGTGGGGACCTGTCTCCACTTACTGGCCCAAGTCGTCCCTCCGTTCTCTTCATCATAAAGTGGGAGACTTTCAAGGCCCTCAGGAGATGATGTCAGAAGCTGATGTACAGGGTCAGGTCAAGGCTAAGATGTGTTCAGATGTTTCTTTTCTCCTGCCTGCTCACTGTCTGCACAGGGCGTGGGCTTTGCTGACCAAGCAGCATCTGGTGATGAGAGCAGCTTTGTCTCGTCTGTTTCCAGCCCCTGGCCCAACTTGGGGTGGGTGGTAACTGCCTCGGGGGGGGGGGGGGGGGCTGGTCTGGCCCCACTCATGTTAGCTGCCCTGGGGCAAAACCTGGCAGTTTGCTAACATCCAAGCATAACTTCCTATCTTCATTTGCAGCAGATTTGTCTCTGTCCATTGGGACATCGAAGACACCCTCACCTATTCTTTAATAGAACAGTGCCTTTAAATAAAGAGCTCTTGCCCTAAACCTTCCACAGGTACTATATTATCTCTTTGTTCCGTTTATTTGCTGGAAAAGTGCCCACTGACCAGTCCACCGTGTCCAGTCTTCTTAAGTAGCCTGTCAGCCTGTGGAGACCAAGCTGGGAGCACCGGGAGCTTAGGTGCTCAGCAAACACCCCAGACCACAGGTAGAGACCACAAGCGCCAGACAGACCTCTCTTGGCAGGGCTGCCGCGAAAGGTGGGATTTGTCCCTCTTGTCCCCAAGTTTACTGGGTACTGTGATTTTTGAACATTTCCTTTTAGGTGTATTCTTAGGAAGGAAATGACATCTCTTTGTGACCTCACGCTGTGGAGTCCCCGGCTCTGATCTTGTATCTGGTTGAATGTAAGTGACCTGGTCCATGAGCAGTGGAGGAATTCAAAGTGTAAGTATGTGTACACATCAAGATGTAGTATTTTTTGTTTATTATACTTAGCTGAAATCTTGGTTCATTTGTTCCAATAATTCTGCCTGAGATATCTGTTAGGTGGTTTGTGATCTCTTAAAAAGCTTTTAAAATAGTGGTTGTACTCAGTTGTCTGGTTATTTGGTCTGTTGGGGAAATAATTAAAACCCAAATCTGCCAACCCCCAAATCTCACAAAAGCAGAAGAAAAAGAAAAGCAGTTAAACTGGAACGCAGTGAGCTTCCCAGACAACCTGCTGAAGAGATTGCAAAGGCGGAAAGAAATCTCCCTCTTTTCTCCAGCCAGGCCGGAAGAACCCATGTCCACGTGGTCTCAAGATAAATGATAACGTGTCGCACATGGTTCATGCTACTTACCTGGCACTTGGGGTGGCTGTCCGTGTTAGCCAATCACCTTTATCCAAAGGGAAAAGAGACCTCTGTGTTGGTGACAGGACTGCAGCGGGACGTCAGCTGCCAAAGTCAGGCACTTGGCCAGGCCCCTGCCCTTCCTGAGATTGGGAAATAGGGGTGTATCTTCCCGATGATTTCAAAGAGATAGCTCCTAGGTCCTTAAGAAAGATGTTTTGGGGTGGAAAGCTGGACGAAGCTTATTTAGCTTTAGAAGAGATTTCTACGTATCTCAAAGGAACAGAGAATGTACGGTTGTGGGTTTTCGAAAGTAAATACTTTGCGAAGAGGAGTCGGGAGTCTCTTTCCCTTTTTTTGCATGAGGGAGAATTAATTTTTTTTCTTAGTTTTAGTTTGTATTTGCCTTTACTGGCCTCTGAGCTCATGCATATTCCTCTAGAGTGTTAGCTGCTCTCCTGCACTCTGGGTCATTTGCGCTAGGGGAGGGCTGAGGCTGCACCTTTGAAGGGGAGGAGAGGGGAGGGGCGCCAGGGCCGACAACGTGGACCCTGCAGAACACACAGTGCTGTCCCACCACCCCCTCAAGCATCTCCTGCCGTCAAGGGTCGGAGACCCTGAGCAGCAGGTGTGGACAGCGTCCTTGTACGGAGGGCTGTGGCAGGTGACGAAGGGCAGCCCTTGTCATCTCTGCGGCCCCTTCACTCTGCAGGGATTTTGATCTTGGAAGTGTGGCCCGGGCTGTCCCTGCTGGCTTCTGAGGGAAAGGGCAGGCAGTTTTGTCCTGGCGCGCACCGAGAGGCACCACGGGGAAGGTTCCTCACGCCGCCTCGCTGTTGTGGATGTGGCTCCCCCCCGCCCTGCCTCAGACCCACACGGGAGCCTTAGTCTTCCCCCAGGGCCTCTCTTCTTACTGTTTCTGTTAGTTTCTCTGATCTAGGCTTTCTTTTCACTGCAGGGCTGGTTTTGGAGTAGAAAGCCAGCACCCCAGGCTGCTTCACCGTCTTGGTCTAAAAGCCATTTTCCCTTTACCATCCTGCCTAGAGATAAGTTGCATTTTACTCTGTAGCACCTGTGTCCCCAGGAAATACTGCTGCAGAGTGAGCGAGCCAAGGTTATGTTCCTGAACTTTGTTGATCTCTGCAGAGCATTTGGTGGGGTGACGCTCCTCTGGGGATGTTTGGCCGAACCAGTGAGACACGTGGCTTTCACGTGGCGTTCTCGGGTGCGGGCCAGGGCTGCAAGTGTGCTGTGTGGCGCAGACCCGGCCCAGATGCAGTCTGGCCCAGCCGAGACTTCCGCCCTGTTTCTTACCCACTAAACCCGATGGGCGTTGTCAGGAAGAGAGATCCGAGATAGGGTCCCGAATCAATGACATCATCTAAAATGAAATTCCACTGCATCTCCAGGGCATGGCTCTGAGGAACAAGATAACTCATGTGAGATAAAAAAGAAGAGGCCTCAGGACTAGGGGTGCATTCTCAGTGTACAGACATTTGAC